TCTCTCTCTCTCTCTCTCTCTCTCTCTCTCTCTCTCTCTCTCTCTCTCTCTCTCTCTCTCTCTCTCTCTCTCTCATTCCGAATCTCTATTTAGCCTTTGTTATTTAACTTCGTAACGTGCGATTTTATTTTATTCAAAATGTTACTGTTACATTCAAATATTATATTATTTATATTATTAATATTATTTTATTATTACGTTAATGGTTATGTTAGTATGTTAGATGTCAAATATTGTTTCTAATTATTATTCAAGTATTATTTTGAAAATTCTACTATTAAATTTATTTCCTCTCTTTTCCTTCATTTTTCTAAAAGTTGTAAAGTAAATATGCATGAAATTACTGCAAATGCGACGACAAATTATTATGTTTCAGGACAAATCTATACATTAGTATCTCTTGCCTAACAAATAGCATTAATGTCACGCGTATTTTTTGCGCATACTTTGAGGAAACGTGTCTTTGTATTCCAGACGTCATAAAGAAGTCGTGCAGAATACAGGTAAATGCGTCTCGATAAAGGTAGTCGGGAAACGAGAATCAGGGTAGCGATGAAAGATGAAAGCAACCTCCTACAGATTTTTCAAAGGGACCGTAAAACTACAATGAGGACTGAGATGAGAGGTATCTTCCGTCCTTTTCCATACGACAGAAAAGCGACCGAGCAAAACAGTGTAAAGTCGAAACTCGTAACTCCCAAGAGTCATGTTTTTTTTTTTACATGGTCGGATTACAAAGAGTCGAAAGGGCTTCGAACGGCCGCGTGGCCCTCCCTTCTTGAGATCTGTCCGAACAGCTGACTGAATCTAAACTTGGATGATGGAGCTCGCGCCCTCGAAGAGTTGCGTGCTATTTTCGAGATGCCGCGTACCAGCGTGAAATGAGACAAATAACGCGTCACTTCCGCTAGAGGCGTTCAACGTTTCGATCGTCTCCGAGAACTTTCGGTGATGGAAAATGTTATAATCTAAACATTCGCACGGTTAACAATCTTTCAGATTAACCCAAGAATTTTTATTTTCGACGTAATTGATCTTAAAATGTTGTAAAGTCGTAACTTTGAATTTCAGAAAAAATTTTGATTCTGAAATATAAAAAAAGAAAATAGAAAAATATGAGATAAGAATTTTTTATATATTTTCGTTAGAGGAAAATTGATCATAATTTTTAAATTAAAATCAATTTGAATTCCATTATTTTTTTAAAAACCCATCATAAAACGTTATCTAAATTTTTATCTAAATTCTTATCTAAATTCTTAAGAAAATATTACCAAAGAATATGTTCGTAGAGGTTTTAAAAAAGGTTTTATAAAAAAAATCACAAAATCCTATTTTTGAATAAATCAGTTTTAAAGAGAGAGAAATATCCAAACCAGTTCCGTATAATACATGATTTAAATTTCTGCGAATCAATTTTCGAGGAGCGCTGATTACATTTGTCTCGAGACCCGCGTTTCGTTAGACACACGTCGCACCTGCTAGCACATTTAAATTCGACGTAGTTTAATTCCATTAGCGAAACGAAGGTTACGCGCGTTTTAATTTCGATGCGAGCGGCCGTTTAAGCTGACGAATTAAAAGCGCCCGCTAATGCGGCCCGCCCGAGAATTAACTTTGTACGTTCCAACCATTTTTGTGAGACGGGAGAAATAGGATCGTGCCGACGTGGCGTCGTGAGGGCGTCGAGGAATTGCTGGTTCTGAGAAATCGACGGCACGTTTCGGGCATATGTATATTGCGCAAGCATTAGGCCAGTGGTTATCGATCTGTGCCATCGCATAACGTCAACAGACAATTACGAAACAAAAGAGAAAATTTTGAAAAGAAAATACCAAGAAGCTAAAGTCACAAAAGGTTAAAAGAGTCTTATAGCAGTTTTCAATCGCAGTGGATTTTGATTCACTAATGCCATTATAATACACCACCTGCACTTACTTTTTTCGTGTTTTTCTAACACTCGCATTCTACATCCATCTCGCTTTAAATACAAAATCATGATCGTGCATCATGACGCGGCACAATCCGGATCGAAAACAACCGCAATCGAAAAAAAAAAAAACTATTAAAAAAGAAATTAATTAATACTTCTGTATCGACAATCTGAATAAATTATCCTCGTATTGCGCATTCTTGTGCAATACAACTCTTTAGTTACGTCACGTTAATAATGCCACTTTTTTCCCTTTCCGTTTATTTCTGTGCGACGACAACACATCGAAATATCCTCGCATTCTCGTCGCAGATCGAGAACCACTGATCGCTGATAACAATGTGCAGTCGGAAACTCACCTGATATAAATGATGACCCCGTTGGTACATATCCTTTTCCATCCACGTGGCACGGTGATCGCCAATGGTTGTTGCTGTTGTTGTTGTTGCTGCTGCTGCTGCTGCGTAATCACCGCACTACCGTTCATTGTCAACACCACTGCGTTATGCTGCACACCGTTATTGTTATTACCGCTGACACGCGACGACGGCTGCTGCCGCGCAGCCTGCTGCGCGCACGCACCGCCACCGCCGGGATGATTATTCGTCGGCATGCTACCGTCATGCTGTCCCGGCTGCTGCTGCTGATGATGACTCTGACTCTCGTCGGGGCTACTAAGACTGCTGTAAGTCGTCGTCGTCGACGACTCGTCGGATCTCACCGAATCGCAGCCGCCGGCAACGGCACCGGCACCGCCACTAACACCACCGTCACCGACACCGATCATGGTCGCGCCCGACGTCGACGCCGACGTCGGCGTCGAGGAGGCGATCTGCCGATTATCGAAACTGTCTTGCTGCTGCTGTTGTTGTTGTTGCTGCTGTTGCCGGCATTTGTCATCCGCGCTCGCCTGTTGCTCGCTGGCACTCTGAAGCGCGATACCGTTACTACCACCGACGACGGACGTCGATGTACCGTACGCGACGCCGTCGTCGCCGCCGCCGCCGCCGCCGCCGCCGAGGAGACTGACGTCGCCCGACTGATTCGATCGCGCGACTATTCTATTATTGTTCGTGATCGCGCTGTACTCGGCGCTCATCCTCGTGGAGTACGCGTCACCGACGTGCTGAAGCCTCGCGGCGGTCTGATACGTCTTCGCGTTAGCGGACACCATCGGATCGTTGCCGTTGTTGCCGAGGCCGTCTGCCGTAGAGCGTTCACCGTTCTCTGGCACTCGCTTGTTCTCGCGCGACGCCGTCATCAGCGTCGTCATCGTTGTCGTCGTTGTCGTCGTCGTCGTCGTCGTCGTCGCCACCGCTGCCGCCGCTGTGGCGCCCATCGTCGTCGCCGGCCCCAGGTTGGCCTGTCGATACAGCATCGCGTAATCCTCCTCGTCCTCGTTGTCCGCCAGAGGAGGAGCAGCTTGTCTGGACTCGCTGCCATCCGCACCGATATTCGACGCCGTGACTGTGGCTGTCGTCGTCGTCACTTCGAGCGACGACTTCAAACGATAACAGCCGGCCGCAGAGGGGATAATGGTAGTCGTGGTGGTGGCGTTGTTCCCGACGTTGATCCCGCTACCGTCGGCGCAATATACGGCGGTTTTGGCGGGAAAGGTAGTCGTAACCGCCTGCGCCGTCGCCACCTGCGGTGCCTGCAGAATGCCGGCGTACTGCGTCGTCTGCTGCTGCTGCTGCTGCTGTTGTTGCTGTTGCTGTTGCTGCTGCGGCTGCGACTGATAGCCGACCGCGATAGCGGCAGCAGCGGTCGCGGCGACATTCTGACCCACCGCCGTGGCGTACGCGAAGTTTTCCCCCGACACGTATACCAGAACGCTGTTTTGCTGTAAAGCCTGCTGCTGCTGTTGTTGTTGTTGCTGCTGCTGTTGCGACGGCTGCGCTTGTTGCACTTGCTGTTGCTGCTGCTGCTGCTGATGATGATGATGATGATGATGATGATGATGATGCTGCTGATGCTGATGGCCGTGACTCGAGGGAGCAGGGAGCGTGGACGGCTGCTCAGGCTTGCCGGCCATGGTCCAGGTCCAGCAGCGCTGCGGATGACCCCCGACGACCACCCCCCACGACATCACTGGCACGACGTGGCACGTAGCTTGCCTACGTGGGGACACCGGCGGCGGGTACTGCCGCATCCTCCGCGCGAGCCGGTTCACGATTCCTCACGCGCTCGACGATGACGAGTCCCGGGATCCTCGGGTGGTGGTCCTTGTGCTCTCGCCGATGTCGCTGTTCCACGTACCGTTGCGTCTTTCCGCGCGGCACACGTAGCACGACATAATACACGACAGCCGCGACGGACGAATCGCGCGGCTCGAACACAAACGGGGATCCCCCAGGGTCAGTGGTATCCCTCCCCCTTCGGAACGAACGGCGGGAACGCGGGATCGTTTTGTTCCCCTACGTCGCGCGTACTCGAAGCCGGCGTGTGTTTGGCGCGCGCAGTACACGTTGTCGCTGTCGCTGCTCGCCGGTCAATGGCCGTCTAACCTCCTTGACGCGGCGGGGATCGCCGGGCATGGCGCGGGACGCGCCGACGATACGTTTTCTCCCGCGAGAGCCGCCAGCGATCGGTCGTTCAGCGCTCGCTCCTCGCGCTTCCCTCCTTCAGTTTTGTTTCCTCGGCTCGTCCTCTTTCTCCTCTTCTTCTTCTTCTTCTTCTTTTTCTTCTTCTTCTTCCTCCTCCTCCTCTCCTCCTCTTCTTCTTTCCTAAGGATAGACGTACGCTCGTCAAAATGTCGCGGCAACCCGCGATACGTCGTGATACATCGAAATTCGAGACGCCGCCATCGGGTGCCGGCCGGCCGGCTGACGTTCCTCCACCGTATTTCCGTAGCTTTCGATGGACTCTCCCTTCCTCAGAAGTCCCACGGCACGGCGACGTTCCACGCCGATTTCTCTTGCCGCGCGGGCGAGCGTTGCACACGTCGCGAGCCGTTACGTAGCATGATCGTGCGCAAGACGGTGGCGGCGACGGCGGCGTCGAGCAAGGTCGCGACTGCTACTAACACGACTCGAAACTCTCATAACCGCCGGCCCGACGCGCGTAGGCGAGCCGCTTGTTTATCAAGAGGGAATTACGTCTCCGGGCAAGAGAGAGAGAGAGAGAGAAAGAGAGAGAGAGAGAGAGACAAGGTCTCACTCGAATTCGATTCAAGGTGACGACTCCCGTTGCCGTCACTCGTTTGCGGCCTCCGCCACGACGCGAGAACGAGGATTCCTCCGATGTACCGCCGCGACAACGGCGCGCAACTGCGCCGCGGCTTAATTCGGAGCGAACGATTCGAAATCGTTGCGCGCCACCGCGCGCGCCCGACTCGCACACACCGCTCGCCTCACCGTGAGAGGAACGGATATCTTCGTCTCGCCGCGCCGCGCCTCAAGAATCTCCCATGCGAGGAGTCGTGTCAATGCCACGGTCCGTAGTCGCGCTATACTCACAGCCACCACAATATTTATTTACTCCGTCCTCTGACCGAGTCGCGTTACGCACACTCCAAACGAACGGCACACTCCAAAAGACCAACGCGCGCACTCAATTATGTCATTATACGCAAAAACGGCACTCCGCTCTGCTTCTTGGTATTGTCGAGAGGGACGCGAGAGGGGAAACGGAAAAGGGGAAAGAAAGATCCGAGACGTGTCACGCCACGACGATCACGATCCCGACGAATGCGACGACTCACGATATAACACAGCCGCACGGCGTGCCATCTCCCTCGACACTGACTGCGTACGCGGGTTTAATCGCGCCGGACTACTCCGCTCGGCTCGACTCGCCCGAAGTCGGCGGTCGGCGCTCGATCGGTAATACGGCGCGAACGCGCACGCCGCGTACGAAAAAAAAAAAGAAAGACACACTTTATACGCCGCCGGCGTAACGATTCGGGTTAAATCGCGCACGGACGGACGAGCGTCGTGTTATGACGCTGTGTCATCGTCACAGCAGCAGGAGCAGGAGCAGGAGCAGCAGCAGCAGCAGCAGCAGCAGCGAGTATCACGACCACCACCACCAGCACTCTTCCACCACCACCATCGCCAGCATTACCACTGCCTCGTACCACTACCACCACCACTAGCCAGCGACGACCACTACTACTACTACTACTATTACTTCCTACTACCACCACCACCACCACCACCACTACTACGAGCGCGGTTACGAACTCGGGTTAAGTTAACTAACCCTCTCGCCGTGCCGAACACCTGCGCGCGGTTCGCGCTACTCCGTTTCTCACGGGGGCCTCACTTCCCCGCTCTCGCGCTACGGGATGATTATTATTATGTTATTTCGTGACGCGGAGCGATGGGGTAAAACGGCGCGGACGGCCGTGACGACTCGCGCGTTCGCCGTTCTGCGTTCAACGCGTCCGATCACTCACCGCCGGCCGACACGGACGTCGCGCGGCACCGCCGATCGGAATGCCGTGCCCGCCAGATGCGCCGCTGTGCCTCTCGTACGTTACGCTGTTTTCGCGTAACTGATATTGAAAAAATATGGCTCCCACCGCATACCCAGAAACCTCTGCGGCATCCCGACGGCTGGCTTCGCTGACAGGCAGGCAGGCAGGCAGGCAGGCTGGCTGGCTGGCTGGCTGGCTGGCTCGGAGCCACTCGCAATGTCACTAAACACGTCGCTGAAAACATCGACCCACACGACGCGAGCCATCGACGACGGTGCCGCTATCCATCGGATGAAGCGCGTGTTAATTTCGCGGTCGCCCTCGCGGACTCGCAGATTAAAGATACCGCTCTCTTTCTGTTTCTCTCCCTCTCTTCCTCGATATAACTCTCTCTTTTAACAAAACTGTATTCGTCATTCATTGATCGCGAACATAATCGACGAATCGACATTATATTATTCAAAATTATATCTATATGTACATTATATCAAATACAAAATAAAGTATCAAACGTGATCGTTCGTTGATTCATTATACAAATCAAGCTTTCAAATCAAGCTTTCAAATCAAGCTTGAAAAATGATTTTTAATTTAATTTTTATATTTTTTTAGTTTAAATTTCATTTTTTATTGAACTTGGTTTGTGTAAAAAATTAATTTTTAATTTCGCTAATTTTATTTATTATTGAATTTATATCAATTAAAACAAATAAAATAAGAATGCGCTATTTAGTAAATACGCTATTTAGTGAAATTTACTCTTTTAAAACTGAGCTGAAACAAGCTTGATTGGCAGTGATAGACGCACCATCTCTTGCAAAATGAATAATACATCATCACATTAATAACCATTAACTTGCAATTTATTTGCGATGAATTAGTAAAAAGTATTGAAGGAAAATTACATGGGATAAATGTTTCGAGCAATTAAACCATGCGAGGGATTTTAGGTTCGATTATTTATCAAGGGCGTAAAATCGATAATTTCACACATCTTACAGTTCCAAATTTATTTAAGACGCTCAAAAAAAGGTACTAATCAATCACCAAATTTTTCCTATAATAAATAAGATTACGAGACATATGTAGCTATTTATTAAAATTCGCTATAGTAACTGCGGACGAGTACACGATCATGTATACGGTAAATTAGGTGTGAATGTGTATTGAAAGTATATTAATTTAATATAGTACAACAGGATCTAGGAATAATCTAGAATTCTTGTTCATGCGCATTGATGAAGTTACGATGAAAATGATCGAATAAATTTGTATAGAAAGATATCTTATGAAAACATTATTTTGTTTACACATGTTTTCAATAAGTAAATAGCTAAGTTGACAACCATTGATTTTTCTTATCAAGATATGTAATAAAATCTCAGCATTGGCGCGAATGTAAAGAACTAGAGAAAATTATCAAATCCGATACAATTTAATTGCACAAAACGAATACGCGCAATCGTCCACACATACAGGAACCTGATTCTCCGTTTTATTTGCAGTATCAGCAAACAAAATCATGTTTCCATTATCATTGTCACACGCCAGTATACAAAAGCGACTGGAAAAAATTAAATACTACGAAATATGGAATAATGTCCCACTTTGAAAAGTATGTTCGAGATCCCTAATGCGATTGATAACGTTACATTAAGGCTTTAATCAAGCGTAGTTTATATCGTTTCCACATCGATTGACATATCTTGATATTATTTTCAAGTTCTAGAAAACTGTAAAAGATGACAATTTAAATTTCAAGATTTTGGGATAATTAAATTCGCTGCTCGGATCGATGTCCAGAAGAAGTAATCGTGTACATGGGTAATCCACAAAATTGAACTAAATATACATATATAAATTTCAACTCTAGCTTTAGTTGTATAGCAATTACTGCTGAATTGCTAGCTGGTTATTGGAACGATACAATTGGTCAAACAGCAGACATAATCGCGATGTTCAAGGATGACGCATGTCATTACACGCTGCAATTCACGAACGGAATTAAAACTTCGCATTTAGATCTAAATAAAGTTAAATTTCCTTATCATTATATATAATGATAAGTACATACTTTCAACGAGATCCTCTACCAAAGCCAAACTAATAAATCTTCTCAAGATGCTTTATCAGAATTTGCGCTTTCTTACTTTCGATATATTTCCAACATAATAAAGTTTTGTCATTAGCCGATAATGATTATCTACTTTCAAGATCACATAATCTTCGCGTAAGAATCATTAAAGAATCAATAATTGTAGTACTCACTGTTTTGCGCATGTCCAAATATGAATTATTTCAATTTCTTTTTTTCACTCATTGAACAATTCATCTACATATCCATGTTGTTTCTTTCTTTAATATGACGAAGTCGAGCGAATGGGACAGAGAGTTCGAAATGAAAGAAACGGCTATGTTTATTACAGGGTTAGAGTAATCAAATTAATGTGTGGCACATTGAACTCGCGATGGACCTCCCTCGTCCTCTTCATACGCTTGTCTCGTATCTCTCCGCCTTTGTTCTTGTTCAGGATCCAAATCAGTAAGTATGCATTCCTCGGCTCCATCTGGAATTATGACCTCTTCCCTCGGCGGCAGACATTGTTCCAACGACGGAATAAGTGACGGTTCTATACTCTTCGGGAAATTGACTACAAATTGTATTATGAGTCTGCCGTGTGTGAATGGATCCTTATAAATCGGCATGCCTTCGTTCAAGATGCATTTCAAATCACCGTGCTTCGTCACAGTGCCGGGAAGTGAGGTTATCACTAAATCTCTACCATCCAACGTACGAATAACTTTCTGGAATCCACATAATGCCTCTACGAGTTCTAGTTGCATTCGCATGATCAGATCGTTTCTTGAACGCCTGAAATTTATTTAATCGATCGCAAAATATTAGTAATAATTAGATGACAAGTCAATAAATATTCCAATGAAATATTACTAACTTGAATACGTCGTGCTCTTTTTCTTCAAGAAGAATAACTATATCGCCAGGTTCGTAATCTGGTTCTTGATCACCTTCACCGCTGAAAGTGATCTTTTGACCATCAATCATACCCGGATCAACGTGGACCTCAAGTATCTTTCTATCTCTAATAGTCTTTCTTCCATTACAATATTTGCAACGATCACGAGGATTGATACGTTCTCCTTGACCCTTGCAATCTGTACACATCGTTTGCAAATGTTGCAACATTCCCGGACCTAATTGCTGGATTTGTACTTGCAAACCAGAGCCATGACACGTCGAACATTGTTCAACGGAACCTTTCTTACCACCAATACCTAATACAAAAACGATAGAGATTATCTTTGCAAACAAATTAAACTTTTTTGTGAATTATAATCTCTATCTAACAATTACCTTCACATTTCTCGCAGATAACATTCTTTTGTAGAGCAAGTTTACGCACAGTTCCCTTGTAAAGTTCTTCAAGAGAAACTGATAATTGATGCATAACATCTTGCCCTCTGCGTTCTCTTCTCCCCCTACTTCGACCACCAAAACCTCCACCAAAGAACATGTCAAAGATATCCATAGGAGAAGAGAAGCCGCTACCACCCATGCCACCTTCTTTCAAAGCTTGCTCACCACCTTGATCATAAATACGCTTCTTTTCCGGGTTTGACAATACTTCGTACGCTTGAGAAATTTGCTTAAACTAAAACGTATGCAACATGAATATTAAATTTTATCATTCCTATCCATTCACAATACTAAATGTTATGATTCATACAAACCTTTTCGCCCTCATTAGGATTCTTATCGGGATGATATTTCAGAGCAAGCTTTCTATAGGCCTTCTTCAGATCTTCTTGCGAGCATCCAGGCTTTACGCCCAATACGTCATAAAATGTAGTTTCCTTAACCATTTTCACGGCGTGTTAAATAGTTTGTTAAAATCGCTCCCACTACTGAAAATAAAAATGAGATATTATAATTTTTTATTCATTTAATACTTCCAATCCATAGTAACAAAAATAAATTATTCTTTTTATTAATATTTTGCCAGCAAAACGTTTTACAAAAATATATAAAACATATTAAATACAAATACAAATTGTAATAGCATATGTAAATTATAAAAATATTCGAAGGATATCATAAAATATATTTTCTTCATCCTTGCAATATATATTATATTATACAGAAAGTATTATTTATTCAATTTTTTTCTTTTTCTTAACATGTATTAAGATGCTAATTCTAATAAGATCAAACAATAAAATAATAATAGAATAGAATAAATACATATTCTTTAGTCACTCGATATAAAAATTTCTTTTACAATAACTCTTGCAAAAGTGTATACATACATATTTAAAATTAGTGATTTTTTTCAAAATGTTTTTATTCATACGTGTGGCTAGATTTATCTTATTTCAAACTAGAATAACAGCAAGTCTTAAAATATAAGCTATTATCGTAGTCAACAAAGTGCTAATAAAAATAGTTAAAATGCAAATTTTTATATTTCTTGGAAAGAATAGTACGCGTTATGAATCATTTATCAAATGTTTATAAGATGTTTTATAAATTATAAATGATATATATATATATATATATATATATATATATA